CAAGAGCACAAGCCTCCTAAGTTCATGTTCCTGTACCAGCAGAAAGAAGGGGAGGGAAGGAAGGAAGGAAGGAAGGAAGGAAGGAAGGAAGGAAGGAAGGAAGGAAGGAAGGAAGGAAGGAAGGAAGGAAGGAAGGAAGGAAGGAAGGAGAGAAAGAAAGGAAAGAAATTAAAGGAGAAAGGAAGGAAAAAGGAATAACTTCTAGAAATAAGCCATGAATTTTAAATAACTTTCACTATAGTATATTGCTATATTCGATTGTACTAGTTATTATTAGTCTCTTGCTGTATTTGGAGTATAAATTAAGCTATTATAGGTATGTGTGTGTCGAAAACCATGGTGTATATAGGGGTTAGTACTTGCGGTGGTTTGGGGCATCTGTATAATGTCTTGGAACATATCCCCTATGGATAAAGGGGAATTACTATACTTGGGTTCCTTGTCACCCTCCTTATAACACTCCCCCCTCTTTTTTTCTCTTTAAATAGCTTGAGGAGTGAGTTATTTATGGCATAGACTAAGCGAATGCTACTACTGCAGAAAGACTTCCAAATATAGTTCACCCAGGGTAATTCATCTACCTTCAGCAGCCAGTGCAGGGCAGTCAGGTCTCAGCTGCCCTAAGACGTCCAGGGAGCCAAGCTCCTCTCTGTGGGTTCTCTGTGACACACTGTCTAGTGTTGCTTTTCTCTGCAAGATCAGAGATGGCTGCCAGCACCCCACCTGGGCAAGACTCATAAATGGTACATATCACTTCCACTCACAGCTTATTGTCCAGACAATAAAAAAAAAACTACACCTAGATGCATAAAAGGTAGACAGTCCTTATGCTAGATAGTTCCATGTCCAACTGAAACTGTCTGTTCTATAGAAGAAAGGAAGAATGGGTAGAAGAGGAACAATTAGCCATCTACTTCAAGGTGATTTATGTGAGTTGCACCCAAAGAAATTCAACTTGAGTTTATGAAGTTTTCCTTAGTTGCTTCAGGCAGAGTTGACATCTCTTTGTTTTGTACCCAGTTCTTAGCCTACATTGTTGCCCTGAATCCACCTGTGTAAGCAGAAGAGACCACTGGTTGTACATAATTCTGTTCTTCCCCTCTTCCATGGTAGTTAAATTCCCCTGTTCCATATGATATGTTTGGGATCCTGCTGAATGGAACAAATTTGACATTTGTCAGGCTCATTTACCATTAGCTGTGCCCATGATTATGTTCTGAGTAATAATATAAAAGTGTGAGGGTGCACATACACTATATCATCATTTTTTGTACCAATACTGGGGCTTGAACTCAGCAGCTGAATCTCACTTTCCTGCTAGGGACTGGCGTTGAACCATGATCCTGAGATCTCAGCTTTGTGTAGCTAGGATTATCGGCGTGAGCCACCAGGTGAGATCTGGGCTCTCGATGGCCCCATTTTCACCAGGAGTCTGTTTCTCCCTTCTTCATTTATCCCAAGCGCCCCCCCCGCCCTAGGCCTTGTCAGGTGTGCACTGAGTTTGTGAGCTTGAGACATTTCCCTTCTCTAGGGTACTAGTACAATGTTATTAGGAAACTCTTGATGATGATAAAAACTGCTCAGGACCCAAGAAAGGACTATATGAGGTAGAATGCCAGGCAGCTGATGGAGGAATTTGGGGAGCTGGGTAACAGCCTTCCTGGTCCTTCCCTTCTGTCTGATAGAAGAGAATCCTCAGGCCATTAAAGAGTTGAGTCAGCCACAGGAAAGCTGGTAGAGTGGAGGCCAGGGACAAAGTCAGAGGAATCAGGGCCTCCAAGACTGGCAGATTGGCTGGAAAGGACCAGACCCTCCCCTCCCCCTCCCCCTGTGAACCCCCCCCCCCCACCCTACACACACACACACACACACACACACCCATTTTCCCACATGCCCAACTAAACAGAATTGTTAAGGAAGCTATAGTGGCCTAGTGTCATACTCACAGGTAGAGCAAGAGGGAAGGAAATGGTTCTTTGCAGTTCCAGGTCAAAGGTATCTGGGAGAAGGCACCATTGCCTGGTCTCTCTGGACTAAAGTGGCCAACTTGTTCCTTATTCCCAGAGTGTCAGAGCAGCCTGCCTGCCCAGGCCTGGCCACCAGATAAAGGCCGTCCCCAGGAACTTTGATTGATTGCCTGCATTCCAGTCAGTTCCTTATCAAAGAGCATTCCTGGCTGAAGGGGACAGATGTGTGAGAGGTGCTGATGGACAGGTCTTTGCTGATAGCACTGGGGCTGGGCCTACTGGACTGGAATTTTGAGGGCAAGGGGTCTTCAGGAGAATACTGGCGTCCCTAGCCTCGTTCGTGTAAGACCCAGGTCACAGCGTACTCTTGCTGCCAGGTGTTGGCTAGTACAGTGCTCAGTAAAGGAGCTGAGCATGAACTCTACTGGAAACTGATGTCCTCTGTTAGAAAATAACAGCAGGTCAAGTACTGGTGGCTCACACCTGTAATCCTGGCTATTTAGCAGGCTGAGATCTGAGGATCTCAGTGTGAAGACAGCCTGGACAGCAAAGTTCAGGGCAATCTTTTTGTTTGTTTGTTTTTGTCTGTCCTGGGGCCTGAATTCTGGGCCTGGGCACTGTCCCTCAGCTCTTCAGCTCAAGGCGAGTGCTCTACCACTTGAGCCACAGCACCACTTCTGGCTTTTTCTGCTTATGTGGTGCTGAGGAATCGAACCCAGGGCCTCATGCATGCGAGGCAAGCACTCTACCAATGAGCTATGTTCCCAGCCCCTCAGGGCACTCTTATTGCCAATTAGCCACCAAAAAAAACAAAAAACAAAGCCAGAAGTAGACCTGTGGCTCAAGTGGTAAGGTTCTAGCCTTCAGCAAATTGCTAAGGGACAGCACCTAGGCCCTAAGTTTAAGCCCCAGGACTGACAGAAGAAAAAAAAAAGAGACAGATAGACAAGACAGAGTCAGAGGTAGAGACAGAGAAACAGAGAGAAAGGAGGAAAGAAAAAGGAAGGAAGGAAGGAAAAAAGGAGCAAATTGTGGTGAAAAAGCAGGAATGGAGGAATGGGATTAGAGACCAATTATGGATCATAGCAGAAAACCTCTCTTGGGTATCTTTGCAAAGAGGCTTTTCTTTTTCTTTTTTTTTTTTCTCATGACATCTTCCAAGAAGATCTTAGTAAAATAGTATTCCAGGGCTGGGAAGGTGGCTCAGTGGTAGAGTGCTTGCCTTGCATGCACAAGGCCCTGGGTTCAATTCCTCAACACCACACAAGCAGAAAAAGCCAGAAGTGGTGCTATGGCTCAAATGGTAGAGCGCTAGCCTTGAGCTGAAGTGCTGAGGGACAGCGCCCAGGCCTAAAGTTCAGGCCTCATGACCAACAGAAAAGAAAAAAAAAAAGTAGTATTCCCCTTTTATAGACATGAAACAGGTTCTATTTATGAAAGAAAACACTTTTTCCTGGCTATGCCTATTACAGGTTAGATTGTTCACAGACATAGACACACAGTGACACACACACACACTCCTACCTGTTGGTAGGGAAGACACCTGGTCCCCACTGAAGTTAAATGACTTGCTGAAGGTCATTTAGCTAAGACATGAATGGAGCTGGGAACACTGATCCTACCATTGTCTTCTGCTCCATGAGTTCTGGGAATTGGCAAGTGCCAAGGGGGCCACCAAGAGACGTTTTTGGTAAGCCTTGGGCACAGCTCTGGTACTGTGTCTAATTCTCTTATCTGTAAGACCTGCCCTCAGCTACAGGACTACCTGCCTGATCTCTGCCTCTGGTGTTGGAAATGACTAGGAAGAGTCAGCAGCATTCTGCTCCAGGGAGAAAAGAAAAGAAAATATAATCTTGCCATCTCAGGGCTCTGGGATAGATAAAGCCTCAGGAAAATGGCTGATCAAAGACTGAGGCCCTCAGATAACCTTTGCTTCCACTTTTAGCTCTCATTGGGCTCTGGCATTCCTTCCCTCCCCCTCCCCCCTCAAAAAGACTAAGACAGACAGGAAAGGCCTTAATTTACTCAGCAATCTCTGATAATCAACTGTCTTCTGCATGGCTAGAAAAGAGGCCTAAGTCCCCTGTCCTCAAACACAGCAAAGATCCCAGAGTCAGGTGAGCTCTGGTTAAATTATATGAGCAGACACAGATGCACACATAAGCGCAAACACACACACACACACACATCCACATCTGACTTGTCAAGCAAGGAAGAGATTCAAGAATGGGAAAGGAGAATATGTACATATATGTGAAAACATCTTTTAAAAAGAATTCGGGAACTTTACAACTTTGGTAGTGGGGGGAGGAGGGTTGGATGGGGGGGCCGGGGGAGGATGGGATGGGAAGGGGAAACAAAGGAGGAGGCTACAATGTTCGATAAGAAATGTACTCATTATCTTGCTCATGTAATTGTAACCCCTCTGTACAGTATTTTCACAATAAAAAAAATAAAGAGAATTTGGGGCTGGGGATGTGGCTTAGTGGTAGAGTGCTTACCTAGCATGCATGAAGCCCTGGGTTCAATTCCTCAGTTCCACATACACAGAAAAAGCCAGAAATGGTGCTGTGGCTCAAGTGGTAGAGCGCTAGCTTTGAGCACAGAGATGCTCAGGGATGAAGCCCAGGCCCTGAGTTTAAGCCTCGGGACTGGCAAAAAAGAAAAAAAAGAAAAGAATTTGGGGGAGAATCCATCCTAATCATTCATGTGAGTCTGTTATTACTTTTTTTCTTTTTTTTTTTGGGTCCGGTCGTTGGGCCTGAACTCTGGGCCTGGGCGCTTTCCCTCAGCTCTTCAGCTCAAGGCTAGCGCTCTACCACTTGAGCCACAGCGCCACTTCCAGCTTTTTTCTTTTTGCTTATGTGGTGCTGAGGAATCGAACCCAGGGCCTCGAGCATGCAAGGCAAGCGCTCTACCACTGAGCCACCTTCCCAGCCCTGTTATTACTTTTTTTCTTTCTCTCTTTATTGTGGTATTGATATTTAGATTGGAACTCTGAAAAAAAAGAAGCAAAGAAATAACCAACACTCTAGGGATTGGAGGCATGGCTCCGTTGGTAGAGCACCAGCCAATGAATGAAAGTGTCAGGTACAGAGTTTGAGTCCTAGACTTGGACATAGAAAAGAAAAGAAATGAAAGATTTGAACTCAAGGCCTCGCACTTGCTAGGCAATGCCTTGAGACAAAAAACATGCTTCCAGGGACTGGGAAGGTGGCTCAGTGGTAGAGCGCTTGCCTTGCATGCATGAGGCCTTGGGTTCGATTCCTCAGCACCACATAAGCAGAAAAAAAAGCCAGAAGTGGCATTGTGGCTCCCGTGGTAGAGTGCTAGCCTTGAGCTGAAGAGCTGAGGGACAGCACCAGGCCCAGAGTTCAGGCCCCACAACAGGACCCAAAAAAAAAAAAACCCAAAAAACAAAAAAAAACATGCCTCCAGCTCATATGAGTCTTGAACTACTTCTCACTTCATTAAATGTATGAGTCGGCTTTCCATCACTATAATGAAACAGCTGAGATAATTAACTTACAAAGATAAAAGGCTAGGGCTGGGAAGAAGGCTCAGTGGTAAAGTGCTTGCCTTGCATGCATGAGGCCCTGGATTCGATTCCTCAGCACCACATAAGCAAAAAGAAAAAAGCCAGAAATGGCGCTGTGGCTCAAGAGGTAGAGCGCTAGCCTTGAGCTGAAGAGCTGAGGGAAAGCGCCCAGGCCCAGAGTTCAGGCCCCACGACCGGACCCAAAAAAAAAAAAAAAGATAAAAGGCTAACAGAGTGCTGTGGCTCACAGCTGTAATTCTAGCTACTCAGGAGGCTGAGATCTGAGAATCAAGGTTCAAAGCCAGCCCAGGAAGGAAAATCCATGAGAGTCTTATCTCCAATTAACACCAGAAAACCAGAAATGGTGCTATGGCTCAAAGTGGTAGAGCACTAGCCCTGAGTAAAAGAGCTCGGGTGTAGTGCCCAGACTCTGAGTTCAACCCACAACTATCTGCCCCACCCCCCTAAAAAAAAAGATAGAAGGTCCTTTTCGCTCAGTTGTAGAAATTTCAGTTCAAATCTGTTGACCCTGTGGACCTGTGGCAAGACAGAACATCACAGGAGGAACATATGGAACAAAACTGCTCACCTCACAGCCAAGAAACAAAAGAAAGATAGGAAGAAACCAAGGTCCTCAAATCCTCTATGGAAATCTGTCCACACCATCACTTTCCAATAATGCCACCATGAGCCAAGGTCTTTGGGGGGCATTCGTCTTCCAAATTATAGTAAAAGTCTCCCACTGCTAGGATGGCTCTTTGTTATTTTATTTTATTGTAGTTTTGGTCAGTTGTGGGTCTGAACTCTGGACCTGGCACTGTCCCTCAGCTCTTCAGCTCAAGGCTAGCGCTCTACCACTTGAGCCACAGCGCCACTTGTGGCTTTTTCTGCTTATGTGGTGCTGAGGAATCGAACCCAGGGCCTCATGCATGCATGGCAAGCACTCTACCACTGAGCCACCTTCCCAGCCCCAGATTCTTTTTTTCTTTTTTCCCATTCCTGGGGCTTAAATTCAGGGCCTGGGTGCTGTCCTTAAGCTTCTTTTGCACAAAGCTAACACTACCACTTGAGCCACAGTGCCACTTCTGGCTTTTTCTGTTTATGTGGTGTTAAGGAATTGAACCCAGAGCTTCATGCATGCTAGGTGAGCACTCTACCACTGAGCTACCTTCTCAGCCCCTTTGTTAGTTTAGTCCTATATCTTACTCTCGTGTGTGTGTGTGTGTGTGTGTGTGTGTGTGTGTGTGTGTGTGTGTGTGTGTCTCGGTTGTGGGGCTTGAATTCTGGGCCTGGGCGCTGTCCCTGAGCTCTTCAGCTCAAGGCGAGGGTTCTACCACTTGAGCCACAGCACCACTTCTGGTTTTCTGGTGATTTATTGGAGATCATAGTCTCATGGACTTTCCTGTCTGGGCTGGCTTTGAACTGAAATATCCTCAGATCTCATCCTGCTAAGTAGCTAGGATTACAGGCGTGAGCCACCAGCGTCTGGCTTCTTACACTTTTTTTTTTTTTTGCCAGTCCTGGGGCTTGAACTCAGGTCCTGGGTGATGTCCTTGAGCTTCTTTTACTCAAGTATAGTGCTCTACCATTTGAGCCACAGTGCTACTTCTGGCTTTTTCTGAATAGTTTATTAGAGATAAAAGTCTCACAGATTCTCCTGCCCAGCCTGGCTTCGAAATAAGCTCCTCAGATCTCAGCCTCCTGAGTAGCTAGGATTATAGGCATGAGCCACCAGCAGCCGGCTTTTTTTTGGGGGGGGGGGGCGGGGGTTAGGGTTAGGGTCCAGTCATGGGGCCTGAACTCTGGGCCTGGGTGCTGTCCCTCAGTTCTTCAGCTCAAGGCTAGCACTCAACCACTTGAGCCACAGCCCCACTTCCAGCTTTTTTTCTTTTTGCTTATGGGGTGCTGAGGAATAGAACCCAGGGCCTCATGCATGGAAGGCAAGCACTTTACCACTGAGCTACCTTCCCAGCCCCAGCCGGCTTATTGTTTTACTCTTGCCTATTCAATAAACTAGAATGTCTAATACTTTGGGTAATCAACTATAGTTCTAACTAGAATATATATTTGAAGGAAATGATGAATTCTTTTTTTTTCCTTAGCAGTGTTAGAGATTAAACCTGGGTGTCGCCCATACTAAGAAGGATTTTTTTTTTTTTACTAAGCTATACCCTAGCCTTCTTCCTTTAAAGTACCCTAAAATTCAAACTCTCCTAATCTAAGCAGATCTTACCTCTGACTAAAACCTCTGATAAAGCTGCCCTGTGTGTATCAGACTCTGGTGGAAAAGGGCAAGCCCACAGTTGAGATCTTCTCATGTAGCTTCTTGTTATTATGGGACCTTCTCTCTACTAGTTGTTTCCTTTCCAGTTCTGTAAACAACTCCACCTTAATTCCTAGCATTTGTAGACATGATTCACTATATGACACGCATCCTTGTTGTTTTGACCACTATTTACCACTATTTTTTCTTCTTTCTTTCTTTCTTTCTTTTTTTTTTTGGTTGTGAGGCCTGAACTATGGGCCTGGGCTCCGTGCCTCAGCTCTTCAGCTCAAGGCTAGCACTCTACCACTTGAGCCACTTCTGGCTTTTTCTGCTTATGTGGTGCTGAGGAATTGAACCCAGGGTCTCATGCATGCAAGGCAAGCGCTCTACCACTGAGCCAACTTCCCAGCCCCTTTCTTCCCTTTCTTTTGTTTTCTTTTTCTCTCTTTCCTTCCTTCCTCCTCCTCTTTCTTTATGCTAGTACTGAGACTTGAACTCAGGGATTCTCTGGCACAGTTTTTTTGCTCACAAATGGCACTTGCCACTTGAACCATTCCTCTAGCTCCTTTTGACCATATACTTACCTACACTGTTATTTGTTATGAAAAATTATAAGCATGTACCTTAAGACTGATTTTTCTTGTGTGATCCTTTATGGTCAGGGCCATGACTCTCAGTAGGAAAATATGTCAAGAATGATTTAGTTTTGTCACTTTGAGCTCTTTGATATGTAGAGTGTTTATTTTGACCCCTTTTATCAATACCACCTACAAGAAAGTCAGTAACTGAATTACCCACAACCTCTAGTTCTTTGGTCCTTGAGGTAGAGAATAGAAGGAATGATAGAAGGAAAATCTTCTGTTTCAGCAGAACACTTACAAGCAAGAGGGACAAAGAGGGAAAGGTGGGGTTTATGACCACCTGTTTACTACCAGGATAATGATGCACCCTCAGGTGAGGTGGGCTTTATTGGCTTTCTCTTCTGTAAAAGGGAACAATTAGTGTTCCCATAGCAGCGTTCCTAAGACAGAATAACTAGGGTAAAGGATCTTGCCCAGAATGCCGCTCAATAAACAACTCTTAGTATTATTCATTTTCTTTTTTTTTTTTTTTTTGGTCCGGTCCTGGAACCTGAACTCTGGGCCTGGGCGCTGTCCCTCAGCTCTTCAGCTCAAGGCTAGCGCTCTACCACTTGAGCCACAGTGCCACTTCTGGCTTCTTTCCTTTTGCTTATATGGTACTGAGGAATCGAACCCAGGGCCTCTGGCATGCAAGGCAAGTGCTCTACCACTGAGCCACCTTCCCAGCCCCTCATTTTCTTTTCTTTTCCTTTTTCCTTTCTCTTTCTTTATTCCTCTTTCTTTCTCATGATTCTTCTGCTCTGTCTTCCAAGTGCTAGTATTAAAGGTATGAACCATCATATGCCTTCCCCTTCCTTCCTTCCTTCCTTCCTTCCTTCCTTCCTTCCTTCCTTCCTTCCTTCCTTCCTTCCTTCCTTCCTTTCTTCTTACCAGTACTGGAGCTTGAATTCAGGGCCTGGCACTCTCACTCACCTTTTTTATTCAAGGCTGGCCCTTTACTACTTGGGCAATGCTTCCAGTCCAGCTTTTTGCTGGTTAATTAGAGATAAATGGCTCATGGATTTTTCTGCCCTGGCTATCTTCAAACCCTGATTCTCAGATTTCAGCCTCCTGAGTGGCTAGGATTATAGGCCTGAGCCACCAGCACCTGGCTCAGGACTATTCATTCTCAAATCATTACAATAATTTTTTTTTTTGGGGGGGAGCTGGTCATGGGGCTTGAACTCTGAACCTAGGCACTGTCCCTCAGCTCTTCAGCTCAAGGCAAGCGCTCTACCACTTGGGCCACAGCGCCACTTCCAGTTTTCTGGTGGTTTATTTGAGATAAGATTCTTGGGGGGGAGAGCGGGGAGGGGGGGAATGAGGGGGCATGGGAAGGTGGCTCAGTCACGGAGTCTCATGGACTTTCCTGTCCGGGCTGGCTTTGAATCGGCAATCCTTAGATCTCAGCCTCCTGAGTAGTTAGGATTACAGGTGTGAGCCATCAGCGCCTGGCTTATTACAATATTCTTTTATTCCAACAGTTTAGTTGTGAAAACCTCAGAAATTATTAATCCAGTTCTATTCTTTACTTCTAAAAGAAGGAAAAAATATGTTAGACCTGTTCAAAGCCATTCTTCACACTCTTACTCCAACACCAGGACATTCGTGCTTCTCACATTGAAAGCCAGAAACCTGCCCATCACTGTGAAGATACACAGACCAGCAGAGCTGGCTGTGGC